GTTTAAAGCACAGCCGTGGCAGTGCTTTAAACTGAAAATGTGGCCATGGCATGAGTGCTGGGAGAGCTCTTCCAGTGCTCAATGTAAAGCACCTTCACAAGAGAAGTAGCTAACAGCACTGGGAGCATGACTTCCAGCACTGTAGCCTGGTTCACAATAACGCTTTATAGCATTGTAACTTGACGCATTCAGGGAGGAGCTTTTTCACATTCCTGAGCCAAAAAGTGCCAGTGTAGACTTCGCCACTCCACTTCCATGAGAGGCAGAGTTAATGTAGTTATGTGGATAGTGTCAGTGTAGACACGGAGTTGCTTTAATTGACAGACTTGCTTTCAGAAGCTGTCCTAAAATGTACCCACACTGAGTGCATCATTAGTACAAGTGCTCCTTGTGAAGATATGTTCCACTAACACAAGGAGCAAAGCATAAACCAGTGATAGGCAATCACGATTAATAAGTGAGCCACATGGGTGGTCCTCCAGCCTACACATCTCCTCTCTGGCCTCCACTCCCATTTCCCTCTTGCACACTGGGGCACTAGAGCCCTGCACTGATCTACTCCTCCCAAGCTCTTTGAGAGCACCACAAATCTGCTGACCTGCACTCCATCCCCACTCCTCCCTCTTTCTCCCAAAGAGAGAATGTTGTGAACAGCTGACCTCATAAGAGTGTTGCAAGTTAGCTACTATATTGTGCTCCCTATGCATCTTCTGTATTCATCTATTGTTTATTGTCTTACATAAGAAAAATCTTATATATTGTGTGGTTTGAAGTGTGCCTAGTCTATAAATGGGCATTAATATATAACTGGGGCCCTAGACGTAAATTTCTGCTAAGCTGCACGGCCTTGCAGCTTCCCATTAAACCCTGCACAAGCACAAGGGTTTGGGGCTTCAGCAAGGAGAGATGCCTTTCCCCAAGCCCCAAATCTGCCACAGTCAGCAGGAGAGCCACCCCTCCACATCAGCTCCAGGAGGGAGCTGTCATGGCTAGGGGAGAGAAGTCCCTCCCTGCCTGCCCCAGCACCAAGCTGCTGGAAACAAAGGAGAGGGGCCCCACAGCTCTGTGCTGTGGCAGGTGGGGAAGTGGCCAACTCAGCAGGTCCAATTCCTAGGTGGGGGGGGGGGCAGGACCACTGGGCTCCATGAGCTGCCTTCGCCCTGCAGGTGAGAGAAGCTTGTGAGGCATGGCACGGAGCTTCATGCCCACCCACAGGGTACCTGCTGGCTCCTTCCAGGCCACAGCTCAATATACCAAGACAAGCAGGCACCAGGCAGCCTGCCTTAGCACCACTGCCCAGGAGCTGCCTTGGTAAGCCCGAGCCCCAATCTCCTGCCCCAACATTAACCCCCCCTCAACTCACTGCCACCTTCTGTACCCCAAACTCTTCATCTCCAGCCTCAACCTGAAACCCATACCTCCATGCCAGAACCTGTACCCACTCCTACAACCCAAACCCTGGCACTAAGCCCCTCCCCAAACCTGAACACTCCCCACCCCCCTGCACTCCAAGCCCCTCATCTCCATACCCACCCCAGAACTGTACTCTCCGTCAGAGATCTTGCATTCCCATCCTCTGATCCAGCTCCAGGCCCCTCAATCCCACTCCAGAGTCTGCACCCTGAACTGGAGCCCTCACACTCTTGAATCCCAAACCTCAGCTACATATCTGAGCCCCCTCCCCAGAACCCCAACCCATTTCTGTCACATGAATTTTGTTATGTGCACCAATAGACACATCACCTCCATGTCACACATAACACAACTCATTCCTCTCTAAACTCATTCTGGTGGGAAAAATTAGAGAGCACTTCCCTAGATCTTAACACAAATAAATAATAGTTTGTAAAGCACTTTGAGATCTTCAGATCAAAGTTGCTGTTTAAAGTGTTGTTAAAAGGTGGAATGCTCAACTATTTTTAAAATGAAGAATAAGATTTGCCTGAAGTACCTGATAATTAAGGAGTTTTTATTCTGACAAATATATTTACGTATTTCATTCCAAATCAATATTCAGGGGTCCACAGCACCATGGACAGATACAGAAAGATCTTGATTTTAGGTCAATAGATTAAAAAAAAAATCTCATAGCAGTCAAATATGTTAAACTGCAGAAACAAGAGAGAAATTGGAAAATATGTTTAAAGCACAGCATATGGCTATGTTACAAGAAAATGAACACTTATTGTCAACATCCAAAAGCAACCATCCAAAAGCAACCAATACTGTGACCGCAGCCAGAAATAAGTTTACAGAGAAAAAAGGACTGAGTCCAAAACTAAGATCAGTGAACAATATTCTGTCTTTTCACGTGTCATCACCATAGAAAAACTACTTCATCCTTTTAAATCCAACCAAGAGGTTCAACATTAGTTATTTTAAACATCAGTGTCTTCTATAGGATGTGAATTTTTTTTTCTTTTTTAAGAGAACACATGGAATGAGAGGGAAAGATGTGCTGCTCCTCAGTTCTCACCACAGTACTACATTTTAGAGACAAATTGTTATTTTTCTCTACTGAAACATCATCTTTTAATGGAAATCATTAATATGGCTTCCTGAGATTGGATCCGAGCAGTTTGCATGTAATAAAGAGTGCAATACAATTGTTAAAATAAGTCCCAGCTGTAGAAACACAATGCTCCGCTGTTGCTAATGTGTGTGTATTGATAATGAATGGTTGTCTATGCTTTAATCTGAATAAAGCTCCCAACTGCTCTGTCTCTTCTTGCCAAAAATTCTCCTTCCTCCTCCAGACTGTTGTTGCATTCCAATTACTCTACTGATTGGAATGAAACTATTAGAGAGAACGAACGAACGAGAACGAACACACACACACACACACACACACACACACACACACACACACACACACTGAACTTTTACTACCTTTATGGATGAGATTTTTCTCAGAACTGAAGTATGCATATACACACACATTCCAGCAGGGCAGCACAGTACTTTATACATTTCTAACCAAATTTCTGTTTTCTTCAATTGCTGGCATGCTACCCAGCAACTTGTATTTTTCTATTTTTCCCTCACTTATAAGGAAAATGGGGTATAACAAAGTGAAATGTTAAGACATCTAACTAGTGGTTTTGTCCAGCTAAAAGGTATGGTTTTGTCATGCAATGAGGGTTAAGATTTCTTTCACTCTCTGGTTTACAGTTGCAGTATGTGTTTTAAATATGAAGTTTTCACTACGGGATGCCAAACAGAGCAGTCAACAGCATCCTTACCCACCCCAAGCTTTTAAAGGGACAGTTTAAATTTACAAATTCAGATAGAAACCTGTTTGTTTTTGTTTTAAAAGAACACTACTACTCCAAGTCACATATAAGAGGAATATAGCTAAAATAATTGAAACATCTTTTTATTTTAGTTTATTCTATGCTTTTGAAAACATTTTGTGTACGTATAGTCTCTTTCACTGTCAGCCCTAAACATTCAAGTTCCTTTTTGAGAATCCCACAAAAGAGAGAAGCTATTTTTAAAAAGTGATCGCAAAGCAACAAACATTAGCAGACAAACTCAAAGGCATGTGGCATCTTCAACTATTCACTTAATATTAAAAAAAAATCCCATTACAGTAGTGACAAGAGGCTCTAATCAAGATAGTAGCTGCGTCATGATAGGTGCTGCTTTGCAAAGTATAATACTGTCCTTGTCCCAAACATGTCACAAGTATATTTACAAACAATAAAAAAGAGTGACAGAAGGCAGACTAGATTTCATGTTGATGGTCTCCTTTCAATACTAAAAAATGCAAATCACTTCTGCAGCGTATTTCACCTATTTTGGAAATCAAGGTTCTCCCACGTCACACAAAATTCCAATACTGTTTTGAAATCAATAGTGGAAAAACAATCAGGTTATTCAGACTACAATAGTGGCCTACAATTATTTTTCAAAATTATAATCCTAAATTATTTAACACATAAAAGTAAATATAGAATCACGCCTAGTTTTTAATTACAGATTTATGTATCTGGAAGACAGACTATCAGACTGATTCAGCTAATAATCAAATTACAACATGTTATCAAAATAGTTTAGCAAAACATTAAAGCACAATTATTTTATCAGCACAACAATACAAAGAAAATGCGAAAGGAAAAAAATTAGGCTGAAATCTAAGTGCAAGGGAGAATAATTTCTGAACAAAATATAAAGCATTCTTTATTATATATTAGAATAATTTCTACTCAGAAATTTTATCCAGAGACATGACTTTAATAAAGATCACATTCTTATTTATCCTTCATAAAACACATATTTGTGAAGTTCAACTTCGCAGATATGAATTTGCTAAATAAAACTTAATACATGACATGTAAAAAGAAATACATTTTTAAAAGATTCATATGTCTGCATGTAAGCATTTTGCCAGGAAGAACAAAGCAAATCTGTTCTCCATGGACTAAACAAACAGCACAATCAATAACCCACTTCCAGCCATCAGAATGAAACCTAAGGCATTCAGAAAATGAAAGCATGTCCTAGTAATCTGAAATACTATTTCAAGCACTGCAAAGTATACCAGGAACTGATTGTATAGAGATTGTATATTTTTCTACTTTCCATTAGATTTATTGTACTCAATTATGTTATAGCTCTATATAGCTTTAGGGTTAGTATTTTAAGTTTCCTGATAAAACTACACAAAACACCAGTTATGTGCAAGTACTTAATATATACCCATGTCAATTAAAATTAAATAAGCAAATACCAATTGTTTATCATGGAAGAAACATTAAAAATGCATTGCATTACTGAATATAAATAGGTAAGCCAGTAAAGGCTTATAGAGTAATCAGTCATCTTGTCCAGTTAAAACAAAAACAAAAACAAAACAAACAAAAAAAAACACCGGCACATAGTTTCCAAGGCAATTCTGAATTTCCGTAAGAAAAAAAAAAAATCAGACTCCAGTAGTCTGTGCTTAGGATGCCTGAATGACTTGTGGACATAGCCAGATAGAGTCTGCCCAGACTTACCATGTTTAGACTCCTGTTTTAACATCATGATGTCTACTTCACAGTATTGTTTTACTATAAACAAAGGGCTTCCTTTTCCACTCCTCCCTCTTACTACACTCAAAGCCAAAAAAAAAAAAAAAAAAAAAAAATACACCCACAGAATTCTTAGCACAAGGGACTAACATTCACATTTCCTTGATTCATTGGGTGATGGGCTTTCTGCTACTCACATCAAAGTCTATCCATCTAATTTATTTGATGTGGCTTTCAAAGGGTAAAGGAAGAAATTATTCTGAATCCTTTGCAATGCCAACAGAAGAAAAACGAACAGTATATTAAAATCTTATTTGTGTATTCTTGTAGGTGCCTTGCACAGAAACACAATTTTGTTTCTAACTGGATGCATTCAATTTTACATCTAAAGAACTCCCACTTTCAAAACACTTGTCACATGCTCAGATCAAGTCTAAATGATACAGTAGTAAGATGTGTGTGTCTGCCTACATACAACTTGTATCAACTGGCATGTTCATCACTGCCACAGCCAGTGGAACTGAACCAGTGGTAGCACTGGTGAGAAGTTCTGAAAACAAAGGCTAGCATGAACATTTTGTATTTCCTAGTCTAGCACGGATGGAGCCTCCCAGACCAGTCACCCAGCCAAGAGGCTTCTACCATAATTATTTTTATACAGTAGAAATGTCATTCAACTTTCCTCATATCCTAAGTATTGCCCTTCTTGAATGTATGAAAAGCAGATAGCACATCATAAAAGCACTGCAAATTATTACAATACTGAACAGTTCTCCAGCCAAAACGCAAAATTTAACAAGCTTTAACTGCCAAAATGCTTATCTGAAAAACTGAAGGTTTTTGGCAGGCATTAAAGCCCAATGTGCAGGTAACCCATTTCTCATATCTGTAACAAATTCAGTTTATAATTTTACATTCTAAGCAGCACAATAAAAGGATGAAGGAGGAAATTAAATAGAAGTAACTTAAGCTACATATTTTAACAGTTGTGTTTGTAGTGTGATCACCCTAATTACAATTAAATTCATCTCAATTTGCTACAATAGGAAGAACAATTACAAAAAAGAGAGATTAACTGGATATCAAAAGCAACACAGGCCAAGGTTAGATAGTATCTATCTCTAATCTTAAAATCTTGAAGAGGAAGCAATTAAATACAAGTGAAAGACAAAGTAAACTCTTTCATGAGCATACATTCTTTTCCCTTCTAAAACATAGGTTTAAAATGCCCTTAAAGAATTAATATGTAACTAAGAGTTGCACAACAGACCTATAACTCTGAATAATTAATACACTAAATTCTTACCTCTGAACAAATGGTCTGAAATCCATGAGACAATGATTTCAAAATATTACCCAAAGAGAGTTAAGATTCATTCTGTTTCTAACAGAATTAATTTCAATCTTCTTCAATAGAGAAGTGATTTGTTCAAAATTATTTTTAAAAGAAATCACACGTCAAGAGTTCATAAAAGAACACAGGAATCTTCCTCTGAAGATGAATGGACCAAAAATAATTGAAAGGTAAATTCACTACTTACCAAATACAGACATGCAGAGTATTAATAAGGAAAAAGGGTTGAAGACAACAGGGATAAAAAAAAAACCACAGTCCAATGTACTTCATATATTTATGAAAATGGACTATAGGAAAAAGACATTTAACAAGAAACAGAGCCCTAAGATTAGCTTCATTGAAGTAAAACTCTCCATCACTTAATGCTCTATAGTAGAGGAAACAATAAAATAAAATGATGATCTAATTACCATATGGACAAAAATGCCCTGAATTTTAAAAAGGGTCTACTGACAAGAGAGCCCTGTAACTAACCAAGCCTCCTGCACAGTAGGAATAATAAATTACTGAAGCTTGCCTGGGACCAGATCTATTCAAGTTTCTCAGTCTAAAGCACAAAGATCTCCTACCCAATGTAAACAGAAAAACTGAACTCTGTCTCTTAGCAAACCCAGATCGTGGTTACAAGTATGGTCCCACTGAAACATCCTTCTACTATTGATACTACTCCAGTAACTACCTAAGCCTACATTATTTGTCAATCAGAGTTTCAGAAAGTGTTGATCTAGTTCTGCAATATTTATTCTAAATTAAATTTTATGGTCTCCAGGAATGTGTTAAATAAATAAGTTATATAATTTCTTCTTATATGTCAAGATCTTCATTCTCTTTCCTTGACATCACAGACACCCAATACAGAATATATAACTACGTTCCTTGCTCTGCTTAGTTGTTTGTGATCTCAACATCTGTTCCAACACAGGAAATAAAGCCAACTAAATTTCAATCCTGCCAGGTTAAACACAGCAGATTTTATATAATCTTTAAAAATGACCTGCATATGATTATTTTTAATATTTTATTTGTACTGAAATAAACTAGATGATTTACCTTTTGTTGCTCAGGTCCTTAATTCAACTATTTTTATTTTTTGGAAAACTAGAGGGCTCTGCCCCTTGCACACTATGCACACCAACACCCCTGGCCACTACACACAGTAACTCCCCCCCGCCCCTCCTCAGGAGGAGGCAGCAGTGCAGGGCTGCCCTCAGCTCTCCCCAAGCCCAGCAAGAAGAGTCATGAAGGTCCGGTGCTAGGCCTGGTAGGAGACACTGGCCTTGCAGAGGCAACTTGTTGGGTAAGTGCAGTGGGGGGAGGGGGAGCTGCTCCCTCATCCCCACCACTTCCCATCCAGCTGTCTCCAGCCCTGCTTCTGCTTCCAGGTCCCAGGCCCCACTGCCCGGGACCCAGAAGCAGAGCCAGAGGCGGCTGTGGGAAGCAGTGAGAACAGGGGAGCAGCAGAGCTTTCTGAGTTCCCTGTGGCCATCATTCAACAAGACACCACTGCTCGCTGATGGGACCCGGGAGCTGGAGCAAGAGGTGGCTGGGACACAGGAACCGGAGCCCAGCAGCAGGCAGTGGAGCCGGGAGCTGGAGAGGCTTCCTGCTGGAGCACCGGGGAGCCCAGAGCACAGCGAGGCGTCACTGCTGCCCCCCCAACCCTCCTGCAGGGGAACCAGGGGCCAGTGGGAGCCCAGGACACCCCTCCCCCGCCTCCCCTCCTCCCCCGCTGCACCCACACCCAGCCCCGGCCTTGCTTCTGGGGAAGGGGGGGAAAAAATCACCCCTGTGGCAAAGGGGTCCCATCCTGCCCCAAGCCATGAACATCGCTTCCTTTTCTCACTCTGCCAACACTGATGATGTGATGTCATTCTGTCATCTGTCAGCAAAAAATGTCTCATATAGAGAGAGGTGAAATGAAAATGTATATGCTTTATTTGAATAAAACTACATTTTTCCCTCATTTCCTGATGTGTCCAGCAATGTTCCCGTATCAATGAGTGGGGGAGCTTCACCCTCCTATCTTCCCTAACAGGTGCCGGTGGGGTATGAGGCTCAGGGCTGAGGGAATCCCAGATTGGGGAGGGAGCACCCCCAGCCAGCCCCTTTTACCTATCCTGATGATTCTGTCTCTTTTCTGTATGGTTTTATGAGAAGCAATCTCATTCCAGGCACATCCCATTTTCCCGGCACAAACGATCACTTACCTTACTTTAAGCTATGATAAGAGGAAGCTGTATTCCAAGTTTGGTGGTCCTAGCTCTTACTGTTTAGGAGGAGTTCTTGAAAAAGCAGACAGAACACAACTCTCTCAAATATATAGTTGATACTGAAAGAGCAGAGGCTGGTTTGTTTGTTTTTGTTTTCCAGATTAGGGATGTTAAATATCAGTTAATTGAATAGTTGATTAACCTCATGAATTCTTATTGGTTAGTCAACTATTCTATAGTCCCTGGGGGTGGGGCCAGCAGCCAATGTGCTCTGACCTCAATCCAAAGGAGGCCCCTGCCATTCCGCGCTGCTGTCTCTGTATCAGAGGCAGCAGCGTGGGGTGCCAGGAAGATGCTGATCCACGAGGGGAGCCAGTTAAAAAAACAGCTCCTCTCATGGATCAACTGCCCGTCACACCACACTGCTGCCTCTACTATAGCAGCAGTGCGGGGTGGCAGCAGCCTCTGTCGGGGGAGGCGGGGGGAGGAGAGGATGATGTGCTGTGCTCCCGGATCCAGCGCAAGCAGGACTGAGCCAAGCTACTGGCCAGTCTGCTAAAAAATTTACTGGCAGCGCGTGCGCAGCATATAGGCTATAGAATTAACCTATACGTTTTTACTTATCGGTTAATCAGCTACACTATTGCACCCCTATTCCAGATACAAGACACTACTTTTTTTGAAACCTTAGAAATATCAAACATGTTAACTTTCACTCTCAGTCTTTTTAAAAGGCATTAACATTTAATCTCTCCCCCAAATGTTTATTAGGCATTAACATTTAATTATATAAAAAACGCTAGATAGTGACTAAAAATACCTTCTTCTAAACTATCCAGTCTTCCATCTCTTGCGATGTGTTACAATGTCTCTAGTTTTTCTACTACCCATAAAATTCTAAAGCAGAGACCACTAAAGAGTGACTACAGTGCTCTCGGAGTATGGGCGAAGGAGTTTGGAGCGCAGGTGGTATTCTCTTCGATCCTTCCTGTCGAAGGTAGGGGCCCAGGCAGAGACAGGTGCATCCTGGTGGTGAATGCCTGGCTGCAAAGATGGTGTCACCAGGAGGGCTTTGGCTTCCTCGACCACAGGACGCTATTCCAGGACGGACTGCTGGGCAGAGATGGCGTTCACCTTTCGAGGAGGGGGAAGACCCTATTTGGACACAGACTGGCTAACCTAGTGAGGAGGGCTTTAAACTAGGTTTGACAAGGACAGGTGAGCAAAGCCCACAGGTAAGTGGAGAACATGGAGACCTGGGAGATGGGTTGGAAATGGGAGGGAGCATGGGCTATAATGGCAGAGAGAAAGGAGGATCAGGGCAAAACTGGGAGGCAAGGTCAAATCAGTATCTTAGATACCTATATACAAATTCGAGAAGAACGGGTAATAAGCAGGAAGAACTGGAAGTGCTAATAAATAAGTACAATTATGACATTGTTGGCATCACAGAAACTTGGT